CAATAGTAGGTCTGTGGGTCAAGGAGATATATATTTCTATATATCCCTTTTCTTCCCCTCCCTCACTTCACTTCTTTCAAACACACACAGCCATATACACAGAGCAAGCAAGTCACACACACACACACACACACACACACACACACACACACACACACACAGAGAGAGAGAGAGAGAGAGAGAGAAGTCAGTACTTTCAACATATCACCTCTCATTCTTTGACCTTGACTTGCTTACCAGGATCTGAATTCTTCTGTAACACTTTAAGTCAATCCAGGTGGATTTGCTTCAGAGCGATGAGACCCAGTGTCTCAGAAGTGGAGAGTGCTTCATAATCCAGAGTATTTTGTGCAAATGTGTCCACTGTGAAGATTAGAAAGACCTTTCCTCCCTCCATGAATCCAGCTTGCATGAACACAGAAGAGAATTTATTCAGAGGAACTAAGACATTCTCTTATTAGCAAATAACTCAAAAGGGCAGGGAAGGGAGGTGAACTACATCACAGTCAGGCCAAAAGAATCCCCTGGTCTTGACACGACATGTGACACTTTCAGATGGGTTCTTAGTACCTTAACTTGGAGGGAAAACTGATGTTTGCATGCTTAGTTTCTGCCCATGACACTCAACTCAGAGAACTGAGATCTCTGGAGAAGCTGAGGGTGGTTTAAGTGACTCGCCAGAATAAATTAACTGGTTTCTCTAAACCGAAGTTTCCTAATTTCGAAGCACAAGCAGCGGCCACTGAAAACCCAACCCCCAGAGAGATTCTGCCCTCAGGGATCTCCCTGCCCTGGGGAGAGTTCGGGATCACAAAGTGATTTATCACAACTTCTGCGAGGCTGGCTTGTCAACATGTTGGGATTAGAGCACTAATTCCAGCAGATCTAGATCAGAGACCAGAGCAGGTGCAGCAGGTCCCTAAGCAGGGAAAGTGTTCCTCATTATCCAAAGGGCCACTCCTAAAATGCCTGCAATAGCCCACTTTTCTAGGGATAGGGTATCTCCATGCATAGCAAGATAACAAGGGCAAAGAGATGTGTGCTTAGCTTGGCATTAGGAAATCTAAGTCTTCTAGCCCCATAGCACACTGGGAAATCTATGGCCAGACCAAGAAGTTGTTAGGAGCTACACTAGGACTGAGGTATCAGAACTGAGGCTGTGAGGCCAGAACTGAGGCTGACCTGGCTGGCAGCTGACAAGAATTTAGGAAAGTTATCCTGGCTGCCCTTCAGAGTCAGCCAATGCCTTCCAACAGACACAACACGCATCTCCATAATATTCTCTCTGTAATTAACAGCAAAACTCTTCCCAATCCATTTCCCAGAGCCTCTCTTCCAGAAGAAGCTGTTAAATTACCCATTGTTTCACTTTGTAAACATCTTCTGCCTGATGACAAGTGAAACTACATTTTAAAAGCAACTGCAAGTTTCCTAGTAAACATGGCTTCTCTTTTCTCTTTGAGATATTCCCTTTAGTTAAATCACAGGCCCACCCATCTCCAGCCCTAGCCAAAGAGCACACTGCCTGCCACAGCTAAGCATGTGGAAAGCGTGTCTCTCTTGGAGACCTTAAGAACCCAATGGAAATGCTTTCTTCCACTCACCTCAAATGGACTAACAAACTTTGGGTTCCATCACCACATAGAAAAGCAGATACTCTGGGCGGTGGTGGCACACGCCTTTGATCCCAGGACTCGGGAGGCAGAGGCAGGCAGATCTCTGAGTTCAAGGCCAGCCTGGTCCACAGAGTGAGTTCTAGGGCAGCCAGGGATACACAGAGAAATCCTATTTTGAAAAAATAAAATAAAAGAAGCAGATATGAGTAGTAATTCTGAGAGACACAGCCAGCCCCATGCAAAAGAAGATGGCTGCCTTTTCCTTCATGTATACATATTCCCACCAACCCTTCCTCCCTTGATCACGGCAATGCTTAAGCCCTTGAAGTTTCATTAGTAACGGCAATGTATACTAGACTTTCCTGGTTACTAAAACATACTAAAATGTGAGTGGGATTTGGGACAAGTAAGGGCAGTTTAGGAAACCAGTGCCTTCCTGGAGTTTTGCTATGAACTTAAAATTACAGAAAAAGAAAAAAAAAAAAACCTACACACACACACACACACACACACACACACACACACACACAATCAGTTCTTCAAGTGGGAAACTCATTAAGACATAGAGAAAAGAATTGTAATGGTAGAAAAAGAGCTTAGAGTTAATGTTTTGGTTTAGGGAGAGTCCATTTCTCCCACAAACAAATGACAGTCACAGGCACCGGCAGTAATAAAGACCCATGATGGCTTCAATGCCATCTTCTGCTGACCGCCTAAAGCACGAGCTCTGCTGTCCCCAGGACCATTTATGCTTGAGAGCCACGCTCAGAATGTGAAGGACGAAGACATGCATGGGCTGTGCCTTCTGACATAAAAACACTTAGCAGAAGGCACTGGGGGAAATCTAGGAGTAAGATAAAGCTGGGAAATTATCTAAACCAAGGGTCCTAGCTTGAGCACTGCTTTGTCTACATGTATGCATGAGCATCATGTATGTTCGTGCCCACTGAGACCAGAAGAGGGTATCAGAAGAGTCACAGACGGTTCAGAGCCATCATGTAGTTGCTGGAAACTGAACCAATCCTTACGAAAGGGAAGTAAATGCTCTTAACTTCTGAGCCACGCCTCCAGCTCCACATAGTAGATTTTCAATAGCATCTACCACCTTACTTCTTGAGGGAGAAAATGCTTGGAAGACTAACTCGGCCCTGGCACGGTAAGCTGGCTCTCCATAGTAACTTCACAGGCAAGGCCCAGGGGAGCCTTCTAGCTCTTGAAAATGATAGAGTTAGTGCTTACTCTCATTTATCTTCATAGCAGCCCTGTAAGTGATGCTCTAGTATTATTCTGGTATTACAGAGTAAATAAACAAGAACACAGATCTTGGGGTAATTCAGCCAGTGTCAAACAGCTAGCAAATGGCAGAGTTGGGCTTCAGACACAAACTGTTACTCAAAAGCCTGTGGGCTCCATGTGCACCTCCATGAAAAGCTATAAAGACAGCATCTAAACCATTAACATACAATGTGTATCTGCATGTGTATGCATGTATAAGTATGCATTTTATACATAAATGTGCATGAGACATTTTTGTATAAATATATGAGCTGAAAAAACAAAACAAAACAAACCTCTTCTAGACTAGGCTGACAAGAGTCCCACTAAAACTACTAGGGATTAGGCACTGCCTGTGGGACCCTTACATCCCCTGTTGTCTTGTTTGAACTTTTTTTTAAAAGTCATGGATGCATGCCCCCTATTTAGAAAGTACCCTTTTATTAAAAAGAGAAACCTGAGTGTTGTAGTAAGTATAACAATCTAAAATTTATTGACTCATTTAAAAAAAAATTGCTAAGTGGAGAAAAGAAACTCCATGCTACAGAGGCCTGAGACAGCTTGTGTGCAGGGAGCCGGCATGACAGAGAGCTGGGGAAGTGGCTTCCTTCAGTGCAGACTCAACTCAGGGCTGGTTCAATTGTCTTTTTAAGTCCCAAGAACATGGAAAGTGAAACCATCCTGCCTCCTTCCTCCATTTTCATTTTCAGACTAAAAACCCCATTCCTTCTAGGACAAGTGCCTCAATCAGTGAGAGAACGATGACCTCACTTCTCTCAACAGGCAGACCTAACATTTTACGAACACAAATGGGAGAATAAACCCACGAATCTTTTAACTGTCCTAGCAAAGGCCACTGCTCTAAGAATCTTCAAGCAATCTTTGCAAAGAAGCTGACTTCGATACTAAAAGTGTGTTTTGTAAATAATTTTGGGTTCTTGTATACAGAACCTACTTTCTGGAGTCATTCTGAATGCCGTCTAGGTATCTGGAGATGGTTGGGTAAAAGACCAGGGACCCTTCAGTAGAAGAAATCAACCAAAGGGAAGAAGGAGTTCTGTTCAAGCTTGACCCAGCCTAGAAGACGTGGGCATTGGAAGGGTCACTTAGAGAGAGCCATGCCCCTTCAGATTTAAGTCAAATCATCCAGTAAAAGGGAGCTTCAAACCCAAGCAAGGTAAGATGCCAGAGGCCCTTCTTTGACATCTTTATCCTTCATGCATCCTGAATCAAGGAGGCTTCAACAACTTGAGGACTGTACAGACCTGCAAACCTCCTCAGGATGACCTGGGACAGTAGGATTACAGTGTAACATGTTTTGGGGTGTTCTGGGAGCAGTGGGGTAAGCACTAGCAGATAAAGGCAGCTCTGTTACACAAAGACTAACAGTCTAACCAGGAAGATACCCAGGAGGTCACTAGGGAGAAAGCAGGGGACACTGGGCTTGAGAGGAAAGCAGCAGAGCTTGATGGCACTCGAAGATATTTCTGTTCTTTACCCACGCTCCCCGTGGGACCCCTAAGAAACAAGTGCACAAAATCTGTAGGTGAACAAACCATTTGGAAGCAGCAGGTCCTGACGAGATCCAGGAAGCACAAGCACCATGCCACAGACGTTATTACTGCCTGTGTAAGCCCTGGTTGTGGCTTGGGGGGGCTTTGTATGGTCTAAAGAAACTCAGGTCAGAACATCTGAGGTTCTTACAAGCATAAAAAAGTCGGATACTAAATGCTAACCTCTTTCTTAGTAGTGTGTGTGTGTGTGTGTGTGTGTGTGTGTGTGTGTGTGTGTGTGTGTGTGTGTGTGTGTGTAAATCACGTCAGTTTTAGATTCTTCTTTTTCTCCTGTGCATTTCAGCTTTTCTTTTTTCTTCAAGACATGCTAAAGTGCTGAGTCACTTAAAAAAAAAAAAAGAAGAAGAAGAAAGTAAAGAGTGATCATGCTTCTTAGGGCTAGCCTCAAGGATGACTTAAGCACACTTTTGCCCCCCCCCCACCCCAGTCGTGATTCTTTCGATGCTAAACGACGTCACATTGTGCAATCTTAATAAGGTTTCCAATCAGCCCCACCCACTCTGGCCCCACCCCCACCCTCCAACAAAGATTTTTATCAAATGTGGGATTTTCCCATGAGTCTCAAAATTAGAGAGTCGACTCCCAATAAATATGAGACTGGGGATGTCTGTAGCTCATTCTGCTCTCGAGCCCACCAGGAACGAAAGACAACTTCATCTGCCCTCCAGGAACAGCTATGAAGTTCCTCTCCGCAAGTAAGTGAAGGCAATTCCTCGCCCTCTGGTGGAGCTGTTGAGGCTGTGTGAGAGAGCACTGTGTGGCCGAGAGCGAGCGAAGGCTGTGGGCTGGCCAGCAGCCAGCAGCAGGCGCCCAGCTGTGCTCTCTGCTCACTTGCCGCTTTTCCTTCCCTCCACACAGGAGACTTCCATCCACTTGCCTTCTTGGGACTCATGCTGGCGGTGGCCACTGCCCTCCCTACCTCACAAGTTCGGAGAGGAGACTTCACAGAAGACACCACTCCCAACAGACCAGTATATACTACTTCACAACAAGTCGGAGGTTTGGTTACACATGTGCTCAGGGAAATCTTCGAATTGAGAAAAGAGGTGGGTAGGCTGAGAAAGGCATGAAGGCCCAGAGTGGGCGTTCATTCATTCTCTTTGCTCCTGAGCTGGGAACTCTCTGCTGGGTTCTAGGGCACTTAGGATTTGAGGCTAAAGATCAGACTACACTGTGCTCTCTATCTTTATCTTTTGCTGGTCTCAAAGGGTTCATTCACAGTCTGGAAAATACAGAATGTGGCTGAATTTCTAGAAAATTCACAGTGGGCCATTCTCAGCTCCACATTCAGCGGTTGCTTCTTGGGTAGGGAGTCCTTTTTCCTTACCAAAGAGTAAGGTCTCTGCCTTTATTTGTCCCTTGAACTCTGGGAGGACTGGAAAAGTGCCACTTCAGCTGAATGAATCTTCAGTTGCTTGGGGCAGTTGTAGCACTTTTTGGTTGAATGTAAACGGTGTAATCAGTACTCTCTAGGGCCGACCCAGATAAGATGCAGATACAGAGCCCAACAAAGTGCTAACATAAAAACTAGATTAGACTGGGCATGGCGGCCCACGCCTCTAACCCCAGAATTCAGGAGACAGAGGAAGGAAGATCTCTGTGACTTAGAGGCTAGCCTGATCTACATATCTAGTTCCAGGACAGCAAGGACTATATTGAGAAACCTTGTCTCAAAAAACCAAAACCAACAAGACCTACCTAGATTAAAGTATCTCCCATCTTTAAATGCAAAGTATTTTGACTCAGCTTGACAGAAAGAAAAAAAAACCACAAGAGCCCAGATTCTAGGTCTGGGTGTGTAGAACCAACTTTGTAATCTCGGGGGAACTCCTTACTATTTGGGACTCTTATCTGCAAAATTATGGAGTTACAGATGATGGCAAGGCGCTTCCAGATGGAATATTCTTCGACTTAAATTTATTTGCCCCAATTATCATCAAAATTTCTTGTCATTTACTAAATTCCTACTATGTGCCAGGCAACTTACATCATTGAATTCTTGAAACAAATGTATAAAGGGGGACTTTAATAATTCTTTACCTGGAGATAGGCAACAGACTCGGGAGAGTAACAAGCCTGAAGCCACAGGAGAGCCTGGGAGGGAGGGAGCCTTGGATGTCTTTCTATTAGATTGCTTGGTTGGGTGCCAAGAAGGTGTAGCTTCCTTTTTCTTAGTATCTGCTGGCTGTGGGGAGCATGAACTGGCCCTCTAGTGGTGTTGGTTTTAGGAGTGCTTAAATGAGCTTTCTGGTACTCTTTTGCAGTTGTGTAATAACAATCCTGATTGTATGAACTATGATGATGCATTGTTAGAAAACAATCTGGAACTTCCGGTGATACAAAGAAATGATGGCTGCTACCAAACTGGATACAATTGGGTAGGCATTTGTCACAATTCTTCAGCCAAAGTTCTCCTGCATGTGTTTAGTTCCAGTCAGGCAACAAAGATAGGGAAATGGATACAAGGAATATTATGAGGAAAGAAACTTACAGCTTTTTAAGAAGCAGGTTCTCACAGAACAGGTGAAGTCCCACTATGTTAGGATTCTCACATCTGTTAGGTGTTAGAAATCATAGCAAGCTTAGCTAGTTCATCTCAAGTACAGTGGTTCAGAGACCATTCTCTTCTCTGGCTGCCCCTGGAAGGATCCAAGCCCACTGTCCTTACTGAGAACACCCTCCACACCCCTCTCCCTCCAGCCAGTGAGATAACCTGCATGGATTCTCGTTATTCCTTAAAAGCAGGTCCCGGGCTAGCCCAGACAAGAGCAAGAGTACAGGAAGGGTACTGGAGGCAGAGGCAAGGGGTTCAGAAGAGGACCCCCACTGCCACACTCTTGGTCTTTGGGAAAACTATGAAGTTTTTTAGACTGGGTAGTCTGTAGTTGTCCAGATATTTAAGGGATGTCAGCTGATGCTGCCTGGTGTCTAATTCTCTAGAGGGGCAAAGGAGAAGATGCGGAACAGCAGGAATCTTATTCTCAGATTGAGTCTGTCTCCTAGAGAGAACTAATTTCCCCTCCTACTCTACTCATAGGAAATTTGCCTACTGAAAATCACCTCTGGTCTTCTGGACTACCAGATCTACTTGGAGTTTGTGACCAACAATGTACAAGATAACAAGAAAGACAAAGCAAGAGTCATTCAGAGCACCACCAAAACCCTAAGTCAGATCTTCAAACAAGAGGTGAGTACTTCCCTGTCTCTCATGCAGTGTAGGGAAGGGCTGAGGGAACACACCCACCAGGCAATTCAGGGCTGCAGCACTGCTTCTGCAGACAGCCTTAGAAAAGGGAGGGTCTGAGCAACTATTCTTGTTGTAAGAACCTGTTTTGTTTCTCTTTGGGGTTTTAGTGTGAGGCTCTTTTGCAAAATAAATAAATAAATAAATAAATACTTTAAACCATATTAAACAAATTTTAAATAACTGCTTAAGAGATAAGAAAAATATAACAGACAAAAGGAAGCATATCCAACTCTACCCAGTTAGCCATTAAAAAAGAGCACAGGGCACCAAAATGACTTTAATATTTAATCCCTGGAGAGTCACATTCTTAATACTAAAAAAACTAATGCAGAGAAGTAGCCAAAGGCTAAAAAGACAGGAAGGAGGGGATTAAGGGCTTCTGGCCACCACTAGCTATTAAATGGAAACTGTGGAGGGCTGATGGCTCAGAATGTGGATGAGGCAAGCCAGGTGTTGAGGAGGGGGAGCTGGAATGAAGCCCTGACGCTAATGCTAAGCCTGCTTCTGCCACTTGTAGTTTCTTGCCTCGAAGCAGAGCTTTTCCTAGTTTAATGTGCACAGGAACTATGCGGTGTCTTCTTCCGGCAGAGTCTAACTTCGAAGGTCTGAGGAGGGGACTGAGATTCACTTTGTAAATAGCTTGCAGGCTCACAAGTAGCGGGGCAAGCCTTCCAGTTAGTCACCCCCTTATGCCAGTGGGTCCATGGAAATGGGTTTCCAGCGACCTTCATGCTACGACACCAAGAGACTCTCAACAGAATCTGGACGGGAAGCGAGGAGGGAAGCACTTGCCAATGGGCTCCTCTGCCAACAGTAGCGCATACAGTAGCATGTGGCAGCACTGTTTTGGATAACAGACAAATAAGATGGTGGTCCTGACCTCTGGGTGCTTACTCTCTAATGGCAGACAGAACAGTAAGGACAGTAACAGTAAGGGGGAAGTTAGGATTCTGTTGCTACTGAAAAACTAATGATCACCTTGAGAAAAAAAAAAAAAAAAGAAGAAGAAGAACTGCTATGCACAGGTCCATCTCAGAGGGAGCTTGAAGCAAAAGCACCCTCTCTGGCTAGGGTGAGTCAGGGCAGATGGACCCAATTAGCCTCATTCATCCTAAATTTGAAAATCTTCCACAGTCCAGAGCACCCCACAACAAAAAACATGTGTAGTATTTAACCAGTCTTTCTCCTCCCCACCCCCATTAGGTAAAGGATCCAGATAAAATAGTCATGCCTAGCCCAACTTCCAAGGCCATCCTAATAGAGAAGCTGGAGTCACAGAAGCAGTGGCCAAGGACCAAGACCATCGAACTCATCCTGAAAGCACTTGAAGAATTCCTAAAAGTCACCATGAGGTCTACTCGGCAAAACTAGTGTGCTATGCCAAAGCGTACCAAACTGTAGACATACACTGTGGTCAGAAAACATATCCTGTCACTGGGTATCTACCTTATGTTGTTCTCTACGAAGAACTGACAGTATGAATGTTGGGACACTATTTTAATTATTTTTTTAATTTATTGATAATTTAAATATGTAAGCTGTAAGTTAATTTATGATTAATATTTATAGTTTTTATGAAGTGTCACTTGAAATATTATATGTAATAGTTTTGAAATGATAATATAAAAATCTATTTGATCTGAATATTCTGTTACATAGCCAGACTATTTCTTGGAATGTATACGTTTACCTCAATAAATTGCTAATTTATATGTGTTTTTAAAGAAATATTTGTGTTGTGTTTTTATAATGCTTAGACTGCCTTCAACTAGAGAAATCGCATTATCTTTAAAAATCAAGGACTTGCCAGGTGGTGGTGGCACACACCTTTAATCCCAGCACTCAGGAGACAGAGACAGGTGGATCTCTGTTAGTTCGAGGCCAGCCCGATCTACAAAATGAGTTCCAGAGCAGGCTCCAAAGCTACGGAGAAACCCTGTATCAAAACTACACACATACACACACACACAGGGACTAAAGGATACAAATCAACTGGTAAAGTGCTTGCCCAGCATGAGCAAGGCCCTAAGTTGGATCTGAGCACACAAAATAAATAAAAAAAAAAATCAAGAATTAAGCAATTGTATGATATGCAAAATTAAATGAAAAGGGAAACAGCTGCAGGTGGCAAGTGGGGGAAAAAGTCTTTCCTGGGCTTCAGCTTTGATAACAGGGAAGAGGATTAGCACACAGACTCTGCCAAAAGGAACAAGTTTTAAGGTATTGAACAACACCTTGCTAGGGAGCTTGAGGAATAGCAGATGAACACTACCTCTTGACATGTCCAGCTGTAACTCCATGGACTTACAGAACTTAGACAGAAGCCACTTTTTTTTTGGGGGGGGGGTTAAAGACAGGGTTTCTCTGTGGCTTTGGAGGCTGTCCTGGAACTAGCTCTTGTAGACCAGGCTGGACTCGAACTCACAGAGATCCGCCTGCCTCTGCCTCCCGAGTGCTGGGATTAAAGGCGTGCACCACCAAGCCCGGCTGACAGGAGCCACTTTTATTGGATTCTGGTGTAGTGAATGCCTCAGCCCACTTTCCTCCACCAGAAAGCTCAGTCACCTCATTGGATCTTTGTCTGCTTATTGGCACACCTTTTCTGAACCCACAAAGACTTTATTTTAATGTTAACCTCATTTATGATTTCTTGGTTTACAAATCTCAATATAAACACATTTCTTATTACCATTAATACAAAACAAACAATAACAAAGCCCTTAAGCCCCTGCCTCCTGCCAGGCACCATGATAAAAGGCTGCATTGATCACAGTAGCTAATCCCAGCACATGTACATTCTTTCTGGACCCTTCTGAAATATAAAACATGGTCCCCGATTTAAATTCAAGTATATCTGACTCCAGGTCTATTCTTAACTTTTAATTGTCATAGATGGAGACAGAAAAAACATCTCAAAACATTTTAATATAGAAAATACATTTAAAGTTGAAGTCGCAGACTCTGAGACCATACAACAACTTAGATAAGGTATAGCAATGTACAAGCTCCCATATAGCTAGAAGTTCTGCTTACCTTGTCTGCCGTCTCCATGCACTGCGCATACCTCCTTGTCAGGGTCTGCCATGATACATCACACCTTAAAACCTAAGGAGTTGTCCTTCCAGCTAGCATGTGGGTCCCTCAAGAAAGCAAACTCTAGTATCTCCACCTTCTCATGTTGGACCCATGGCCAAGAGCCTGAGCAAAAGGGACCTCTATAAGTATCTGCTGAATGAAGAGAGACTACTTAGCTAGTCACAGTATAACACAAATCAATTCTTGGTGCATATAGAGTATTTTGGGGACATCACACTGATGTGCCATTGTCTTAAGGAAAAATAGAAAAGAATGTAAGAGAAACATTTGGAGGCCTTCTAAATAAGGCAATGAATAGTTAGTCACAGGGTGAAATATCCCTTCATTCCCTTTCCCACAGACAGGTTTGGTGGTAAGTCAAGTGTGGGGGCACACACCAACAATCTCAGCATTCTAATTCCAGATACAACAGTATTGTGGCTTTTAGAGCAGACAAAGCTATGTGGGTAGACCCTGTTTCAGCTCCACCCCAACTCATAGACTTATATATATATATATATATATATATATATATATATATATGAGACTGTATATAACTTAATGTGGTTGCTCCTGCTCCTTCCTTTTTCTGTGCAAAGCTGGGAATTTGGTACAGAATTCCCATTTGTAACCCTAGAGTACAAAAGTCCTGTCTTCTTTTTGTTGTTGTTGTTGTTGTTTGAGACAGGGTTTCTCTGTGTAGCTTTGGAGCAAAAGTCCTGTCTTCTAACAAAGGTACTCACTACCTTAACCTATGAAGGCTTCTTCCTCCAGGGCAGGTATTCTGCTTTGGAGGGGAAAATTCACAGAGGCCAAGAATGTTGAGGAGAAATACTCTGTCTTCTAGAGACTATGTGTCACATGGCTTCCCAAAGTTAGGGTCAAATCTAAGAACAAAGATATAACAGCACGTCAATGCATCGTTCTTTAAACAGCAACAACAACAACAACAACAACAAAAATGTTGAGCATCACATCCAGGAATGTTCATGATAAAGAAGCAAACAGATAGGCATGGGCCCTGACTCTGTGGCAGGAAAAACAGACATCAAGCAAGCAATGACATTTTACAAAAAAGAAATGTGAGGTACTCAGAGATTCTATCCTGGTTACACTAACAAAAAGCAGGATCCAAGTAATCTGGGGAGAGCAGTCATCTAGGCTTCTTGGAGAAAGAGAGACTTTGGCTGAGACATGAAAGATATATAGGAGTTAAGCAGGCCAGGCTAGAAAGAGCATTCCAGGCAGAGGAAATAGTATATACAAAGCTCTCTAATAATAATAATAATAATAATAATAATAATAATAATAAATGCATATTGTTTAGCTTTCATAATTCTTGAAAGTGCTATGCAGACTACTGGAGAGAAAACTCATCAATTATCACTCAAAAGTGAACCTTAAATTCTACAATACTAACCTGATAGGCAAGATATGGCTATTGATGCACAGTAGAATGGAAGTTATGGAGAAACTAACTGCTTTCTGATTGGATCTGAGGTCTGGTCCACAGAAAGAAATTCCTGCCTGGTACTGTCAACCTTGCTAAAAGCCCCATGGCTCAGCAGGTCATAGTTCTCAGGGAGGAATCTGCTACTGCTATTTTACTAAATGGTTATTTATGTTAACAAATTGGCTTTTAACATTTACATTACACTCATAGATTAATGCTGCTCTCAACCTTGGCCAAAGAAACTCCTGAAATTAATGAAGAGATTTATAATTGGTCAAAGTACTGAGAACGAATGACTGTTGAGTGCTCAACCTTAAATGAGACATCTATATTAATACCACCCTCATTCCAAGGCTCACAGAGCATTGTAGAAGAGCAGGCAGAAAAAAATGTAAGAGCTGTAGGCTTGGGGGAGAGTGCTGGGAAATACTGGACATGGCTGTAGCACTCATGAACACACGGCAATCATAGTTATCCACATAAGACCTGTACAAGATCAAGTCAAGCCAACAAAATCAGTCATTATTCCAGCAAGCTGCAATAAAATGGACTCGGTGGGTTACAAAAAGACAACAGGAGAGAGCATGAAGCTGGGAAGGGGACATAGATATGATCCATCTATATATACATATATGAAATTGTCAAAAAAGAAATATAAGGTTAAACATACAAAAATAAATATCGAAAACTTCATTAATTCGAGTGCCTAAAGAGCAAGAAGAGAAGTTGAGAAGGGCTGAAAAGGAAAGGTGTTACCCAGACCATCAAGAACATTAGAAGGCAAACTCAGAAAACTCCAATCTTATCTCACATGTGGTGAGAAGATGGATTTGAATAGTAAAATGGCATACAAGATTTACACTTTAGTGTGAATGCATAAAAAAGCTGCTGGAGTGCTCGATTCATTAGCACATACACTAAAACTGCAACGATACAGAGAAGATTAGCCCCTTCACAAGGATGACATGCAAATTCATGAGTCATTCCATACTTAATATGAACAAAGGGGTCAAGACCGTGGTGGGGAAACCCACAGAATCAGCTGACCCGAGCTAGTGAGAGATCACTGACTCAGGTCTGACAAATGGGGAACCTGCATAAGACCAACCTAGACTCCCTTAATATAGGTGACAATGGTGCAGCTGGGACAATATATAAGGCCACTGGCAGTGGGTTCAAGATCTGACTCTAATGCACAAACTGACTTAGTGGAGCCCATTCTATATGGAGAGACACCTTGCCCAGCCTAGACACAGGGGTGTGGGGGTCCAGAGGTGCCCTGGTTCTGCCTTAACAAGATGATGGGACAGAATTAGTAGACTTCCTAGGGGAGGCCTTACCCTCTCCATGGAGCAGAGAGGAGTGGTGGGGGAGTAGGGGGAGTGGAAGGAGAGAAGAGAGGGGAAACCGGGATTAGAATGCAAAAAAAATAAATTAATAAAAAAGTTTTTAAAGCCCTTTTTAAAAAGCTGCTGAAAGAGAATTCGGAGGAACTTTCCAAAGGCTTTTGTTAGGGTCTGGTGAACAAATGGCAGTGTTCTGGTTCAGGGTGGGGATAATAACCAGCAAATGGCCAGCCTAGTGACATGGAATTTCAGAAGACACTTGGAGACTTACAAAAAGAGAGGGAGTTGGGGTTGAATAGAGAAGTAAACACATGGAGGGCTTGGGATCTGGACACATTTAAACACTTCTCTGAGCAGCTGTAACACGTCAGCTTCTCTCCTCAGGCCTGGAAGTACAGAGAAGATAAGACAAACATCTCTGTTCACAAAGAACTTAAAAAATGAATACTGAGCCATGTGCTGAACATGTGTTACAGTTTTAGATTGACTTGTGTCACCCAAAAGGTGTGTTAAAGTCCTGACTCCCCAGTGAATGTGACTTTAGTTGGAAACGAGCTCTTTACATATGTAATCAAAATAGGATGAGGTAATTATAATGGACCTTATGAGACCAGAGGAGCCAGGCGATATGAATATGGGCCTACCTTCTTGGCTTTGCTTGTTTTACCTTTGTGAAAGGGTATTTATTGCTCTTTGACTGAGGGGCCTTGGGCTTGCTGTGTATCACGTTAACAACGCTCCTGCCTCAGCTTCCTGAGTGTTGAGATCATAAGCACGTGCCATCAAGCTCAGCTCTTCTAGCCACCTACTCTTCGTGAAAGTAAATTCTTGTTTTCAGCCACCCAATTTGTGGTAATTTGTTACAGCAGCCCTAGGAAACTCTGTCAGTGCACAGTAGGTAAGTCACCAGAGATCATAGATTATGGAGGAATAAAATGGCCAATATAACAGGAAGACAAAGTGTAATGTTAATAAAGATTTTTTTGTTTGTTTCTTTGCTTGTTTGCTTGCTCTTGTGACTGGCTATTGATCGATTGATGTTTTAAGAGTTGGTCTTGCTAGATAACCACTAATAGCCTGGTGCTTATTATAGCCCAGCTGCCTCAAACTCATAGTAACCCTCCTAACCTTGGCCTCCTGAAGGCTGGGATTGCAGGTGCATGCCACAACAGGCAGAGGTTTCTCAATGCTGCTTTGTTGAGGAGGAGGTTGCTATTGTTGTTTGGCGGGGGGGGGGGGTCGTCTATGTGTACAAGTTTGAATATGCGCACCCATGTGTGTCTCTGTGTTCATGTGCGGAGGCCAGAAGTTGGTGTCTGATGTCAAGTATCTTTCTCTTATTCTTTGACAGGGGTGTCTCACCGAATATAGAGCTCATTGATTCAGTAAGATTAATTAGACACATTCCCAGCACTAGGTCTAAAAGCACACCACCATACTGCCTCCCCATTCTGCATGTGTCTTATTAGGGTTCTATTGCAGTGAAGAGACACCATGACCATAGCAACTCTTATAAAGGAAAATAGTTAATTGGGGCTGGCTTACAGTTTCAGAGGTTTAGTATTTGTTTTCTTGGGTGCTAATGTAAATGATATTATGTCTTTAATTTCAAATTTCACTAGCTCACTGATAGTAAGTACTACTACCTTTTAATTGAAATTATTTTGGTCCAGCCAGGTGTGGTGCACACAACTAAACCCCCAGAAATCAGGAGGCTGAGATCAGAGGATTAAGAGTTTGAAATGAGTCTTGGTTATAGGTTTCAGGCCACCTTTGCTTATTCAGTGAACCTGTCTATAAATTCATTCATCCATTTTTAAGATGAATGTAAATCTAATTGTTTTCAGCTCTCACTAAACTTTCAGAATACTCTAAGCCACTTGTGATATTGGGAGAGCCCCTCCCCCCAGGAAATTTGAATAACATAATAAATATCTAAAACACACCAGTATGAGGAGATCAAACACAATGGTTCATCCATAATTTTATAAAGTTGAAGAAATACAGGTCCTGTGTGCATACACTCAAGAGTTTAGTTAATACTTCTAAATGGAAAGTTAATAAAGCTGGACATCTAGGGAGACAGACATCGCAAATAAAAAGCAGCAACTGGCCATTCGAGGAGACAAGATACAGTGAACTAACAAGAATCATAGAACAGAGAGAGCAGCAGAAATATCGAGCTGAGAATCATCAGAGTAATTTAACAAAATGTCCCCATATAGTTCCAAGTTGAAGGATTTGAGTGTACTGATCAATTAAAACTAGACTCATGCATAGCCAAACATGTTCTTGTGACATTTCATAACTACAGAGACATACAGAAAGATTCTGCAGGCTTTAGAAGGAAAAGCATCTAAAAAAAAAAAAAAAACTATCAGATTGTTTTAGACTTCTTAACAATGAAGCAAGAATACTGGAATTCTCTAAATTAGGTTGAGGTGGGAAAGACTCCATCCTAAAAGTAGGTGGTACCATTCCATGAAGAAGAAAATGGGAAAGCAAGCTGGGCACAAACATACGTTTTCTTTTCTTCCTGCCTGCAGATACAATGGGACCTAGGCAGCCAGAGCTACCCACCTGTCTCCATGACTTCCCCTCTGTGCCTGACTGTATCCACAAACTGTGAGCCAAAATAAACCCCTCCTGCCTTACATTGTTTTTGTCATATATTTGTCTCAGGAATGTGAAAGTAACTAACACAGAAACTTGGTACTGAGAAAATAGAGTTGTTGCTGTGATAAACGTGGCCATTGGGTTTTTAGGCCTTTGAAGCTGGTTTGCAAAAAGATTAAAGAAGAGTTTGGAACTTTGGGCTTAAAATCCCTTGGCTGCTATAAACAGAGCTTAAAGAGCCATTCTGGTGGGAGTTTGAAAGACCAGAAGGCCTAGAGAAATGAGTACAGTGGAGGACTGGCCCACGGGATTTCAGAGAGGAATGGAAACTCTACTGAGAACTTAGCTAGTACAATTTTAGTGTGATTTGTCTATTTGATTGGCTAGGTTTTTTGGTTTTGTTTTGTTTTTTGAGATAGGGTTTCTCTGTGTAACACCCCTTTCTATCACCCCTTAGTTTCCTGGAACTCTCTCTGTAGATCAGGCTGGCCTTGAACTGACAGAGATCCACCTGCCTCTGCCTGTGCTGAGATTAAATCAAGAGCCACCACCGCCTGGCTTTATGTGACATTTTAACAAAGAATCTGGCTGCATTCTGCCTGTACACAGAGAACTTAATGAGGATGAATTTAAAGATAATGGACTAATTTGTTTGGTAGAGGAATTTTCAAGACAGGATGGCAGCCTAGTGGTGCCATGGCTATTACTCCTTCTACAGTGAAAGAGCAACAAGTAGGGCAGAAAGGCATTTTAAAGAATGTAAAGAATGTACATTTTGGGGTGGGGAAGCTCAAGGGTTGCATCCTTGCATGGTCTCAGGGACTTGACCTGACGAGGGCAGTGAAGATATGAAATGACAAGCACATGGATAAGTACCCAGGACACTGGGATCTGGACCCAGGAAGCTTGGCAAGTTTATTATATATAGTTGTATAGGGTGGAAGGGTTATTGTATGCAGCTAAACAAGGAGGCAGGTCTAGCTGAGCTCAGGAGGAGCAGTCTCCGTAGGGGAACAGTCTTTGGGCCACAAACATCCAGTGGGGAGAAAGCAATGAGAGATATTTTCTGCACCAACTATCAACATTTGCACATGACTTCCCTCTGAGCCTCAACCCCTGGGGTGGAGGGAGGCTTTGCCATTTCCCCCATGGGTCTGAGGCTCTGGTCCTCGACATGGCTGGCTAATGTCAACATTACACATTGACTCAGGACTGCACACATTCAGGGCTTCCTTGCCTCGAAGCACAAGGAAGTTTTAAGTTGTAGGGAAGGTGCATGTTGCAAAAGACTTTGTGATTTACAGAGAAATGTCTTGCTAGTCATTGGAGTCACAAGAAATGTGCCCCGAGGGTAAGACCTATCCATCAAAGACTCCAACTTATAAAGATGCAAATCATTTGAAAAAGAGAGCATAACTGAGAATGCCCTGAAGGAGTTTCCTGCTCTTGAAGAGCAACTGTCTAGGAAAGTGTTTCCTCAGAGTCAGCACGAAGAGTCTGCTATGTTTATGACCCTGGAAGGCCAGGCTGTATTTCCAACTGGCAACAGAATGAGGCAACAGAATCTACATGCTGGTGGTTTTTACAGTCATGAAAAATAGAAGGTTGAGGGGGTCAGAGAGTCTTGTATCATAGCTCCACAGAGACACTGAGGCCAGGCGATGTGTGGCAGGATTAGAGAACCTGATAGGTTTAGTGCATAAAGCTGTGAAGGCAAAGGCCAACTTGAAAGGAAATCCAAGAATGTTAAAGATGCCAGAGCCTTGGGGCATGCACACAGTAGATCTGGCTCAAGAGAAAGACTGTGTGTGCTGTAGGTAGCAGAGCTGGAGGGGCAGGGCTACCTTGGTCCTTTGAACCCCAAATTATTCCACCATGAGCTCCAGATCTGCAGGGCACAGTTCTGCAGCATTTGGTGTTTGTCTTGCTGAGTTTTGGCTTGTCTTTGGTCTACTCTTTCCTTATTACATCCCCATTCCTGTCTTTAGAAATGGGGATGTTTATTCTGCGTCATATATTGGAAGCATGTGACC